GTTCTAAATCATAGAGCTTAATCACTAAAATTGTGCAAGTAATTTGTTGCATATATTTTGACGAATCATGACTGCCAATTTTTATTTCTAATTAAATTGATATTAGTGTATAAGATTTATAGAATTAAGATCTAGATTTTGATCTTTAAGGATTTAAGAATAGTATCAGATGCCAAAGTCCAGTCAATTCAATGTTTAGATAGTTGCTTTTTACTCAAGAGTATGTCGTACATCTTAATTTTTACTCAAGGTACGATAGAACCACCTACATATATATCACCTAAACTACAAATCTCTCTCTTTTTTCTCTCGCGTATTTCTTTGTTGAGTTTAATTAATTAATTTCACCTTCATAAAAAAATGTTTATCAACTAAACATTTTTTTCCACAATGGAAGCGACACCGTGAAACAAAAGAGTAATTATAATGGGGCGGGTTTTCCTTAACCATCTCCATCCTTGCTTTCAAATATCCAAACCCATACCCGCCCCATAACAATGCGGGGGAATTTTTTGCAAACCCATCCTCATACTCGTGGGTTCGGGTACTCATGGATAATACCTGCCCCGTATATTTAACATTAAAATACCTAAGATTTTATATGTAATATTTCAATTATAACACTAAACGCACCTATTATATCATGAAGCGACAAAGAAATAATCATTCTTAACATGGTTCAAAACATCTTATCCTAAAACATCCATTAATCCATAAGATGGAATACAATGTAATCCAAATCATTAAAATCTTACTATAATACATCTACTAAGTAATAACTAACTAACATAATCGTGTTAACACGAGAGAAAAATGAAAGAGTGAAGGGAGAGTAGTGAAAAATGAATTAAGTTTTGATTTTGGTGGCCACCCAATTACATTTCTATTAAATTCACTATTATTGATTGGTTACAATTTCATCAATGTATTTTATGTTCTTGATAGGGCATGGGTATGGTGCGGGAAGGCTAAAACCATACCCGCCCCATACTCATCAAACGTTTTGCGAGTTTTACCCATACCCGGTCAAAACGGGGATTACCCGCGTTAACTGGGTCGGGGGATCTAATACCCGCCGTTATGGGGTTGATTGCCATTCCTAATTGTTGTGGAAAAGCAGTGACGTCAATGCTTAGTCTCCCTGGCAATTCTCAGTCAATGCCAAGTCTCCCTTAGGAGACAGACTTTTCAATTGGTGGCTGCAGAAAGAAAGGTGACTGGTTATATGAAATTAGGGTTCATATAAACGGTGGTGTTTTGGGATGAATTTACTGATTCGTGATCAAGCTTGTGTGCTTGTTCGAGTTGAGAAAACTGTTCATATCGTATTGCTAATGGTCATAAGACTTTCCATTTCAAATTTCAACTACTATGTGATCGTAAGTACTAATAAGTCGATCTGATACAATAAAATCAAATAATAAAATTATATATATTATCGTTGATACGCTGCTTTTTCCAAATGAGATATTCATTGCAGTAATCGTCTGTAAAATTAGTCATTTCAAATTATTCATCCATCAAAATTATTGTCAAATATTCAATGAAACAAAATGATCTTATCTTTCTTTTGTTGAAAGATATATTATTATGCATGAGTTAACTCAATTGGCTAGTCCAGCCAAAATGAAGAAAGAGTGGCATGTGGTCATTTTCAGGCAACATATGTCCCGATCCAGAGTGACGCCATTGATGAGGAAAATCACGTTAAATAAGTCCAAGTCTTTCACTAACTATATACCGGAAGAAAACTATTTACAAGTCAACGAAGAAAATGTTGCAAGAAAAAACAAACAAAACCAGAATTGAACTCGTCAAGTTCAAGTTAGTAATGCATAAATTTCGCTTTGGGGACGACTCAGAAAATACCAAGAACTCGAGTCACTCCCGACGGTCGAGGAAATAGCAAACCGAATTCATTGCTGAAAAGAACGGACAAAACTGAACTACCCAAAATAGATAAGAAAATTAAAGAAACCCAAACCGTAATAAATAAATACAGAGAACAACCACCATCAACCAGACTTAGTCATGTTATTGAATTTGATTTTTTAACCAAAAATCGCTTGCATTACCGTGAATAACAAAGACACAACGTTCAGTACTCCGATCGGAACCAAGCACAAAAATCAAAATTGTTCAAAATAAGCAGGAACAAAGAGAGTGTCTTTCTAATCACTATATGAGACTATCATATTTTTCTGTCTGCCTACAAAGTGCACTGAGAATTCAGGATTATCACGAAACATCCACTGGACTTCTTGCAAAACTGCCCCGCCCAATGCATCGGGGGGAAAGGTTTTAACTAGTTATGTGATCGCTATTACTCTCTTGTTAACGGTTAATCCACACACAATATTAGTTTGTTGATGAGGAGATTGAAATATACAAGAATATAGAAAGACACAACATTCAGATGCTTGATCGTAACAAATAAAATAATGGAGTAAGCTTAAACAATCAATAACTACAACAAAGTTAAATTGTTTTACAACGCATCAACTAAGGACTATTTAACTCTATAAACCACAAATGAGTTTATATAGATTATAAGACTTGGACAATAAATAAGAGAATCACAATAATTCTAATTTTAAAAAGACACGAAAATACTAAGAACTATACTAGAAGAACAAAGAAATGTAAAATTATTTCTAATCTATCTCTAACATTAACATGCACCACAATCATTAGTTATACCAGCAGGTTTATTATGAAACAATTCAGGTAGCACATCAAGAATTATGGGGAAAAAGGATCATTATATATAAGCAAGGTTCTAAAAGGCGCTAGGCGTAAGGCAGGCGCTCGGCTCCTGACTTGTGCCTTGCCTGATTAGGCGTAGCCTAGGCGCGCCTAGGCGTTCAGAGCATAAATGGAAAAAGTTCTCAAATATTTCCTGTTTTCTATAATAATTCATATAATCCAAGTGCATATAAAATTAGCAATGCCTAGTTCTTAACAGTAAACACTTAACATAACAAATAACAAGCAAATAGTGACCACTCCTTAGAGTCACGAGTTCATAAAATGTCGAAATACTAAACAATAGTCAATAAGTTCATAGAAAAATGTTCATTCTTCATCATCCAAGTAGGTCCGTCCAGCCACCACTTCATCTTCATCATCCTCAAAAGCAATCTCCTCACCATCCTCCTCCTCTTCAGACTCCAATTCTTCATCATGGAGCTCTCTCACTCGTGCACTCCTGCGAAGCTCACTCTGTTCACCCGCCATTGCATTTGTAACAGTACTCGAGGGTGCACAATATGATTCCTCATCCTCATCTACGAATACATACATAGCATGGTCATCCTCTTCCCGTGTTTCTGATTTTCTAGGGCAAGAGGCAATTTTCTGATTTTCTAGGATAAAACGAAGAGTATTGGGTTTAACCGCCTAAGCTCGCACAAGAACGCCCAGGCACGCCTTCTCTCCACTAGGCGCAAACTAAGCGCTATTCCTACCTACTAAGCGCTACCAGCGCCTTTTACAACGCCTATGGCCAAGTCAAGGCGATCCTCCACCGCCTAGCGCCTAATTGAGCATAGGCGTGCGCCTAGGCGCGCCTTCTTGAACCCTGTATATAAGTATCCGCCTAATTGATAAACAAGAAGTCTTTAAAATATAAATTCAAACGAATTTGACATAGAATAAACAACATTGTATTAATAGAGCATTCGATTTCTCAACTCAGTCAAAAGCACACATTTTCGACCATGAATGAGTAAAATGAAGAAAGTGACAAAAGCAATGAAATCGAGCCAGAGTTAAAAAGGAGTGAGCGATTAGAGATGACAAAAATATCTGTAACCGTGGATATCTGCTCGAATCCGGCCTAATCGGGTAGGGTAAAACCCGAACTCGGAAGACATTTAGTGGGTACGGGTAAAATCCGAACCCGAATATTGCGGGTAATGGGTGGGCATGGGTTTCTCACTACCAATCTGAACCCGCCGGATTATACACATGCATATGTATTTTGTCTAGAAATAATCATTATTTTTCTCTAATATATTTTATATTTAGCATATAATTAAATATAATATTTTCATGAAATTGTGTAGTTTTAATTAATTTCCTTCCTAATGAATTATTGTCGTACTTTTCCTCTTACGTAATGTGAGAATACGTGTTCATGTTAACATATCGGTTGGAGTTATGAAGAGAAATTATTAGCCATGGATAACCGTGAATACCCGAAACCCAAACGGATATGGACATGATTTTAATTTTTTACCCTTTTCACATATGAATATGGGTAAAATCCAAACTATTTTAAATAGTGTAATGAATATGCATTATCCGCACACGACCCGAAACATTGTCACGAGCGATAGCTCTGGGGGGACTCATTAAAGCACAAGAATTGACAATTCGAGTTTATAGAAAAGCCGCTCCGTCGATCGGTTGACGCCATCCTTCCCGTCTCTTGTCGCCTTGTTAGTGCTTTGTTTTTTTTTTTTTTTTTTTTTGTTTTGTTTTGTTTCAATAAATAATCTGTTCATGAAGAAACTATTTTCCGTTCCTTTTTTATTTAATTTTCAAAAATTCTCCAAATTTCTTCATTACCTTTTATCGTATGTCGTCGTCCCTTCCTTCCTTTTTCCTTTTGTATTCTCCACCACGTGTCTTTCTCAGCTCTCCATGCACCATATTTATGTGCCACGTTTTGGCTTCTCCTGCTTCTGGGCTTGTGTAGGTGGTGGCTTTTGCTAGTTGTTACTTACTTAGATCCTTTCAACTCGATCGATCTCATAATGATAATAGCAGTGCTTCTGAGCCAGAGCTACCGTGGACTCCTTCTCCGCCACCTTTCTCGATATCTATTATATTTGCATGATAAGTTGTATACCCCATTTAGAGGCATTTTAGTATGCTATATAGCATGTATACTTTACTATGTTTATAGCCATTGGATATTGTTAAATATTATGAGCCACAAGATCTTGTTAAATTAATTAGTTTTATTTATTTATTTGGTATTGGTTACCTGTGGTACCGGTTCACAAGTTTGATAGTAATAAAAAAATCAATTCGAAATTAGGGAAAGCTTCAGTTCAGTCGACTTCTCCGATTGAGCAGTTTCAGTCGACATCTTCGATTTTCCATTCTCTTCGATGACAGTGAAGGCGGTGAGCAGGGGGTGACGGCAAGCCGGATTCTGAAAGAGTTCGACGGCGAGTGCGACGCTGGGTAAAGGAAGAAGTAGGGTGTTGCATCTCTTCGTCGATTGTGATTCGCGGAAAAGGGGATTGAGCTCGTCGATTGCATAGACTGGGATTTTGTCGACGGCAACGGAGGCAATAGCCCCATTTCCACCTTCGAATTGTTTCTCCCTAGAAAGGTGGCTCTTATTCTTCAAAGCTCTTCTTCTCCAGTCCATCCAACCTTAGCCCAGTGCCCGCCATCATTAGCTTCAAGCTCACCCGCCTTGGCTTTACTGTGCTTGAAGGTTTTCACCGACGGCAACAGAGGCAATAGGCCCATTGCCAGTTTTATTGTCGGAGGAGCTCGATCGTTTGAGCCCCATTGTCAGTTACCGCAGCCCCCTTGCATCTCCGCCATTGGTTGCTGTCGTCGTTACAGGTCGACCTAGGGTTTGTATTCTGTTTTATTTGCTTTCCTACTTATTTGTTAGTCTCTGCGAAGTTTCTTCAGTTCGTCTGAGACCTTTTAACCTGCCCTGAATCTGCCGGCTTTTGATTGTAGTTCGCGAAATAAGCAGAGGGGGAAAAACCAAAGTAGAAAGAGATGTTCTTTCTGAGTCTGATAGAGCACAAACTGCGTTTTCCACCTGCTGATCTATCGCTTCCTCTCCATAAAGGCATCAAGAAATTTCTTGATGGTATCTTCTTGGATAGGGTATGCTTGTACCCTCATTTGTCTCTCTATGTCCATTTGCAAAGCAGCTCTTAGAATTCTGAACAAACCAATAATGGTTTTCTTCCTTCGTGATATGGCTTCTAAGGTTATCTTGAACTTGGGACGCTGTGTGTCCATCTATGACATTAGAAATATATATGGCGGCTTCATTCATGCCGGAGAAGGTGCTCCAACCTACACTGTGAGTTACATCGTACATCTTTTGTCAGTTTGGTTGCTTTTGTTGAAGTGAATCAATGAAGCTTGATTAGTGAATTGGTGTGATTTCTTTATTTCTGTTAACGCTGGTGGAAACGAACCAATGCATTTGGAGATAATGCTTCGCTATGATTCTTGCAGTTAGAATTTAGAATGGTGGTATTCCGGCCTTTTACATGAGAGATTATTGTTACCAAAATTATAGAATCTGATAAGGATGGTCTTCGATGTAAGTTCTGATTGTTGTCTGCTTTGACGACTCCTGCACTAGTGTTAATCTGGCTTTGCTGCGATTCGTGTGATACGCCTAACCCATATTTATCAAGAAAATTTGTCTGAAGAAAAGAACATGATTTAATGAATTTGATGTGAGATCTGCCAGTTCCTTTGGCATTTCACTAGGTTAATAGCAGTTTAGGTGCAAAGCCAATGGATAAATAAGGATTTCTTCTTAGAGAAGAACAAAGGAAGACTAATCTTAGAACAATTTTCCTCATATGCAAAGCGATTTGGGTAGTGAAATTGGGTGATCTCACAGTCATTATATAAAGAATAGGCTAGGATAGATTGCTGATTTATTTCATTCTCTAGCTGAGTATTGCAACCTTCATCTCTTCTCTTTTTGGCCCTTTCTTGTGTGTTTATGTTTACTTCCTATTACATTATAATAACAACCATTCTCTTCCTAATTAATTGACATAGAAAGCATGATTTACAGTATCGCGTGGATTCCTTGATGATATCTATGTGCCAGCTCATCAGCTTCCCCAACCATGCCATCAAATTCCAGATCCTGATCGCAGGTAAGATCACTCTTACTTGCTACCTGAGAGTACCCAAGGAATACACCCTTTGTTAATCATCGCAGATGAGATGAAACATGATTAGGAATGTTAAGTGGTCATTCCTTAATGAGTTGATTATTCATGTAATGCAATATGTATATAGTGATGCAATCCTTGTTTCTTCTCACTGCCCCTTTTACTCCACACCTCAATTTAGTCATGAAAATTGACTAAATTCTCTGTGTGGACTGCAGATTTAAAGTCAGATGGATATGGGAATACGACATCGAAGATACATGAAACCCAGAACAGTATAACATCGACGGCTTGGATTGCATTATTAGCACCACAAACTTACTAGGAAATCTATATGCAAGTTTACATTGTCTTTACCATACTGCTCCCCTCACTGTCCTGTTAGGTGGTTCCGAGTTCTGAATGTGAGCTTCCCACCACTTCCAATTGAGCATCGAGAGAAGCCTTTTGCTCTGATGCTTGTTACTGTAAGCCAGCCTACAAAGTCATGCTAACCAGATCTTGCTATATTTGATGTTCTTTATGGTGTTCTTCTTACAAGGTATGTCTTGATGTGGGTGACTTGTGTCTTGATGCCAGGGATCCATATCTGAATGTGGTTTGGGGCCGGTTTCATGGTGGTGATAGAAAAGGGTTCAGAACTTGAAGAAACTAAGGATTTTTTGCAATGACATTATCATAAAAGCACTGGGGAATTCAGCTTTGAGGGAGGACAATAGAAGTGTTAGAGAGTATAATGTTTTTGGGACTTTAGAGTATGGTCCAGAGTCGTTTGTATCTAGGTTGCCTTTGCAGGAAGATTGGATGGCCTAGCCTAATGTCATCGGAATGTTCCAAGTAGAAACTGCATAAAAAACTTAGAGAATGCTAGCTCTATTCCTACTTAAGTCATGACATGTTGTTACAATTTGTAAGCAATCTATGCTATGAAACAGCCACATTTTACGGGTATGAGATTTTCAACTCCAAGCCCGTGATAATGACTAGGATTTAGCGAGTAACATGTACAAAAAATTTACTTCAAGTTAATTTTAATATTTACGAATTTTATGTGATGGTCAATCTTTGTTTTCAAATTTTTTTTTGGATTACTACTAATCTAATACTATACAACTAGTTTAAGTTCATGGAGGCAAAATCTCATATTCTATATATTAAAGTGGCTTATTATGTGCCATATTCCTATGATTTTTGACATGTCATTGTCCAAAATACGATGTATCATCCATAAACACAAAGATTAACCATGTTTCTTCGACTTGTACCATTATTACTCCATGTTGTACCACAAGTCCGAATGTACAACCAGAACTTGTACCTATTAGGGGTGTGCATGAGTTGGGTTGTCCGGGTTTAGCCCTTTTAATCACCCGACCCATGCACTACGGTTTGGAAAATATTAAACCCATACCCAACCAAAAAAATTAAAACCCTACGATTAGTTTTTAAATGGGTTGGGTCGGGTTTGCGATATTGTTAAGTTAAAACCCAACCCAACGCAAAATATGTAATTATAGTACACATAAAATATTTTATAACTTGTACCTATACAATGGTACAACTTTAAGTTGTACCTACACTTTCTAACAAATCCCTCTTTGGTACAACTCAAAATTGTACATATACTAATGGTACAACTTTCAGTTGCACCTACACTTTCTAACGAATCCCTCTATGGTACAACTCAAAATTGTATCTATACTAATGGTACAACGTTAAGTTGTACCTACACTTTCTCAAAATTCTTCTATGGTACAACCTAAACTTGTACCTATACTATGGTACAATTTTAAGTTGTACCTACACTTTCTAACAAATCCCTTTATGGTACAACTGAAAATTGTACCTATACTAATGGTACAACCTTAAGTTGTACATACACTTTCTCAAAATCCTTCTGCGGTACAACCCAAACTTGTACCTATACTATGGTACAACTTTAAGTTGTACCTACACTTTCTAACAAATCCCTCTATGGTACAACTCAAAATTGTACCTATTCTTGTGGTACAACCTTATGTTGTAACTACACTTTCTAAAAATCCTGTTATGGTACAACCCAAACTTGTACCTATACGATGGTACAAATTTTAGTTGTACCTACACTTTCTAACAAATCCCTCTATGGTACAACTCAAAATTGTACCTATACTAGTGGTACAACCTTAAGTTGTACCTACACTTTCTCAAAATTCTTCTATGGTACAACCCAAACTGTTACCTATACTATGGTACAACTTTAAGTTGTACCTACACTTTCTAAAAATCCTTCTATGGTACAACCCAAACTTGTACCTATACCATTGTACAACTTTAAGTTGTACCTACACTTTCTAACAAATCCCTCTATGGTACAACGCAAAATTGTACCTATACTAATGGTACAACTTTAAGTTGTACCTACACTCAATGCAGTCAAAAGCGCGATTCTACCTAGAAGCGGAAAAGGGGTAAAATCATAAAGCGTAGAATCAAAGCGTAAAAACGTAAGTTTTTGAAGCATACTGAAAAATAACTAAAAAGCTAGGACATATACTATGTAAATTATGAATGCACGGAATTTAGATAAGTTAATAAATACATGCAATTCATGCCTCAAGTAGAGCAACTTGTAGCATCTTAATAATAAGTTTGTAAATATAAATTTTAACAATAAGCCACTTCTTCCTCTATGCTAAAGCATTCGGGAAGAGCCTAGTTGGTGAATTAGATTACTCTATTAAAGTTGAGAATGCATCCAAGTACATGATATGTATCTATTAATCTCAAATGTATCATATTGTTGGTGATTTACTTTTAAAATATACTTTTTATAATTAATTTCATGAAAAGAATACTCATTTAGCGAACTAAAAACGTAAAAACGTAAAGCGTTTTGGTAAACTAGAAGCATAAAAGCGTAAGGTTTTAAGCTTTAAAGCGCAATTTAGTCCGATTTTATACACTTAAGTTTTTATATGGAAACGAAAGCGTTTTGGTGACCTAAAAGCGTAAAATCGTAAGTTTTTAAGTTTTAAAACGCGATTTTGACTGCATTACACTTTCTCAAAATCCTTCTATGGTACAACCCAAACTTGTACCTATACCATGGTACAACTTTATGTTGTACCTACACTTTCTAACAAATCCCTTTATGGTACAACTAAAAATTGTACCTATACTAATGGTACAACCTTAAGTTGTACCTACACTTTCTAACAAATCCTTTTATCGTACAACTAAAAATTGTACTTATACTAATGGTACAACCTTAAGTTGTACCTACACTTTTTCAAAATCCTTCTATGGTACAACCAAAACTTGTACCTATAATATGGTACAATTTTAAGTTGTACCTACACTTTCTAGTAAATCCCTTTATGGTACAACTCAAAATTGTACATATACTAATGGTACAACTTTAAGTTGTACCTACACTTTCTAATAAATCTCTTTATGGTACAACTAAAAATTGTACCTATACTAATGGTACAACTTTTAGTTGTACCTACACTTTTTCAAAATCCTTCTATGGTACAACCCAAACGTGTACCTATACCATGGTACAACTTTATGTTGTACCTACACTTTCTAAAAATCCTTCTATGGTACAACCCAAAATTGTACCTATACTAATGGTACAGCTTTAAGTTGTACCTACACTTTCTAACAAATCCCTTATGGTACAACTAAAAATTGTACCTATACTAATGGTACAACCTTAAGTTGTACCTACACTTTCTCAAAATTCTTTTATGGTACAACCCAAACTTGTACCTATAACATGGTACAATTTTAAGTTGTACCTACACTTTCTAATAAATCCCTTCATGGTACAACTCAAAATTGTACCTATACTAATGGTACAACTTTAAGTTGTACCTACACTTTGTGAAACAAATTCTTCAATGGTACAGCTGAAACTTGTACCTATACGATATGGTACAACTCTAATTTGTACCTACACTTGTATACATTGATTCATTATTTACAAGATTGCCATTAATGATGTGGGACCAGTCATTTAGTAGATTTACCTCCTCAACGGGTCACCTTTTCTATAGCATGGGTGCTATAGAGCACACTAGAAGGGCTCCCCCATTTATTGTTTCCCTATCTACAACATGAATGAAACCCTTTTCTCTAGCAATTATATTTTGAACACCACGTCTTCTCAAATACCAATTGTCTCCCTCTACCATCATTGTGTTTTTTACCATAGAAACACATATGAAACTATAATCTCGCGACTGTCATAAACCAACCAATTACAATAATTCGAACGGTTACAAGAAGATTATATATTATAGATCATATACTCTCTTACAACGGCCACTTTATAGTAATTCGCATGGATAACACTAAGTGTAGTTTAATAGGAGTTGTACACGCTGACGTTCTTTTATTATCTAAATTAAATATGAATTAATATTGAGAACGTCTTATAAATTAATATGCATATAACTATATAAGTCCGAACATATCATCCTCTTTTTGAAGTTGCAGAGTTGAATCGTGATAAGTTTTGTAATTTGTTATTTTTTGTCCTTCTCGCTCTAAATTTTGACTTCCATCACTTGCCATTCATATATATACAAACTTATTGTAGTTGGTATTTGCTCTTTTTATGTAGGACGTGGTATTATTAGAGAATGGTTCACTAAAACAAACTCTTCATATAGTCTGCAGCCTGCCCTTTAGCAGCTAACCATAGTTATAAAACTGGTTAACTACACATATAAACATAATGGCTCATTTAACTTCTAAACACATGTGTTAATTAAAGGATATATTTGTTGAATCTGCTGCCTAAACTGCACCAAAGTCGTTATGGTTTTAGGTAGGAAAATGGGAGTGTGACTGCAGCAAACAAAGAGGGAAAGATGCCAAGCATATAGTGACCTTCATGATCCACAGGGACTCTAAAGTATGTTTAATTATTCGGTCTTTAAGAAAAGTATTGTAATTAATTAAGTTTGATTTCCACCGAGAGAAAGCAAAGCGAGAAAGGTACTTTGCTCGTGATGACTTGCATCTCAAGTCACCCGAGTCTCCTCCACGGCCTCAAATGTAAACCCATATTTAAACACGAGCCACTTTGAATTTCTTATTCGTTTACTTTGAGTAATGTTATTAGCTCACATTTATACATCAAACGGTAACAAATTTGTGAAGCAGAAATGACGCTGCAAATCACATGTTGACATTCAAGTTAGTAATAATGATATAAGAATGAGAGATTACGTTGAGGATTTTAGCCTTCGAGACCTAAATAATCCTTGTATAGTGCAAGCTATGACTTGAGATTGCATGTGATTTGGTATGTTGACGGGCATAGGTTTTCTGCTCGTTAGGTTTGGATCTTCGGTTCGCAAAATTCTTATCACGAAAGCAAACAAAAAAATTATGGCGCAGTAGATAATTTTCAAACTAAATTTTCGAAATTACAATTTAGGGAGTGTCTACCAAGCTGTGTACACCATTTCCAAACAATGAACCATTCAAGATTTATAGATAGTGCATATTAGGTGTACCGAATTCTTAATTAAGTACCCTCACCCCGTCTATTAAAATCCTCTCTCGTTTCATGTCTTGTGCTTCTTTGACTTATTTTTAATTCAGTATGTTCTTCTTTCCCTAGAACACTCCGAATAAAAAATTTTGATTTAATTCACCTAAAAGAGATCCCTATTCCCAAAATACCTTCTGCCTGTGCTCTCAAAGACTATAGGCCAATTTCTTGCATTAATATTCTGTATAAGATTATTGCAAAGATACTAGCTAATCGCCTAAAGAAAGTACTGCCTAGGGTAATCAGTGGTAATCAATCAGCCTTTATTGAAGGGAGGCGGATAGTAGATAACATTTTAATGGCTCAAGAGCTAGTTAGTGGGTATCATAGGAAACACTTATCTTCTCGGTGTGCTATCAAAGTGGACCTTATGAAGGCTTTTGATTAAGTTAATTGGGAATATCTGTTTATGATGATGGAAGTTATGGGATTTCCAGTTGGGTTTATTAATTGGATAAAGTTGACAGTAAAAACTGCTAGATTCAGTATTTGCATTAATGGGGGGCTATG